CTATAAATTTCAACCTAAAAACAGGCTAAATTTGAATGGTAACATTATTATTCTGTTAGCTACAAATAGAGAAGAATATCCTTTTTTCTGAAATGGCACCGAATTATGGTAACATTGTTCAAATCAACAGATTACCTCAATTCACAAAACTGTAAAACTTTTCCAACTATCCCAGTTTCGGTACGAATGTCTTAATTACCCATATTGTGTCAGTTTCATTTTTAAGCTCGTTTGTTTTTCTAGATTACATCCTGGAATGGTTAACCCTAACATACCAGTCATACTAATAAATAGCATAATAATACAAGAGTATGCAAACAAAAATACAGGATATTGGATATCTATAATTATTTAGAATATACCCCAGTAGCAGGCATATACTGAATAATTATTGGATATCCAGAATAATCAAGGTCAAGGTATAGGAGATGATTTTGAAAAAAACAAAACAAAACAAAACATGCGCTTAATGTATGCTCTCCGAGGTTAACAGGTGCTGATATTTTGTCATAATGCCTGATTTATGCTATTATTTCAGTTGATTTGTTAACTTTTTTTGGTTGTGTATGGCACTAGAATTGCAAGGACATTGGAATTGTCATGTTGTGCTTTGCTACCTAAATATGTGTTCTAAATTTCAATTTGTACTTATCCACTTGATAATGACGAGAATCAGAAAATACAACCAGACTTTTAAATCAAACCCAATCATATGTCTATGTATACATTCAGTGTATAATACAATCACATGATAGGAAACACGATTATCTTCGAGCCTTGCTAATTCTTGATATTCAAGTTCTAAAGGAAAAAGAAAAGCGAGGCCAATAGAATGTCACGCGTCAAATGCACAGTTCAAGTTCAAATAAAATCAAATTTAAATTTTTCCCGCAGCGATGTCACTGACGCGTTCATTCTTCAATCGAGAAATAAAGCTCACTTGGTGCTTTAAGAGTGTAGATCGACAAAATAAACCCATGATTCCCTTATCATGTTGACATTTTGACGATGGTTGAGTTATTGGAGAGGTTATGAATGACCATATGGCAAACTAAAATAATCAGTGTTAGATTTCTTGCCCTTTTTTTTTCAGCCGTTTATCATTAAAAATGACTAAATTTTCACTAGTTGTGTGCAAGATCATTGTTGCTATTTTTCTTAAGACATTTGTTGTAGGGTTTTTGGAAAAGTGAGTGAAATCGTAGGTGTTTTACTGTTTGCCGTTGATGTAAACATCAGGGTAAAACTATAAATTCTTACATTTGTAATGCATCGTAACAACGAGGTTCAGTTCCGCTCATTAAGCACTAAGAATAACATAACTTGACGAAAAAAATAGCGTTAGCTTTCATAAAATAAAAGAAAAAGATAGACAAAACTTTCATACGAAAAGGATTGAATTTCTTCAAGAACTTCTTACCCGGAATAATGCATTTCTAAGAACTAAAATGATGCAATAGAAAGCGAAAGGTCACGGGAAAAACCCCTAATTACACATTTACGTATGTAATATGCATGAAATATCACGCAAAAAAAAAAACAGTTTCGAAATGAATTTTTACTCTACTTTGTAACTCTCCGAAGGTATAACGAAGGAAGAAAAAACGGGATACATGCCCTGAATCATTGAGTCGTTCTCTCGGCTGTGAAATAATTACAAAACCTGAACACTACTAAGACCTATTTTTCCTCCCGGTGACTAAATAACTCAGTATATTTATTCCCATCACGTACATGATTGGTGCTAATCCAGTTTCTCCACCATATATATATATATATATATATATATATATATATATATATACAGCTTTCATTTCATAACAACCATCGATTTCCTCATTCTGTCTAATTTGGAACGATATAAGCACAATTGGTACTTTTCTCGTGACAGATATTCCTTAACTATCCCAAAGCGGAAATACGTGTCTACGGATAAAGAAATATCTTGCTCGGAATTAATAACACAACCGCATTTTAAGAGCAAATCCTTTTAAAGCAAAAGGTAAGATATGCATCGTTTTCTAAATGTGATTACACAGCGATTTCATGTTCCCTGCTTGCTTGTTAAATTGTAAATTTACGTTACAACGTCGGCGTAAAAACTCTAGGATTCTGACCACTCGAAGCGAACGAACAAACAGATAATTCAGCAATAGTGAGGCTCCTCGAGACACTCATGTAATTCTGTGGATGTTAACTATCAAATAAATATAATATCGCCATCTGGCTCGTTTTAATACCTAGCCAACTAAAGCGAATTGTAATTGCGATAAAGATTTCGGTCAGTTATTGCTTGTTCCCGAAGGAGAAATTTAGGCCCTCAGCTCGGCGGATTCAAAATGACCCACAGTCCATCAAATCAGTCTGAAGTTACGAATACTGTCTTGTTTCAATTTTAACCTGCTTTAGAGTCAACATTAAGAAACGCTTCGGGTAACATTTCAATTAATCGAGGAAGGGTCCTACATCATGGGGAACCGACAAGTCGAAACATCAAATGATCATTGAAAGTCGCATCATGACGAAATAAGATGTCGCCCGGCCACACGGTTCGTTTTCATCGCTCGCCTGGTAATCGTGAGTAATATATATCTCGATTGACTTCTCCAGTTGGAGAAATTTAGGCCCATAAGCTCGGTGAATCAGAATTGGCTAAAGTCCAACAAATGAAATAGTGTGTGGACTTACGAAAGCAATGTTGCTTCCGTTTTTCTGAAACACGTCTCAAAGTAAGCATTAGTAACCACTTATGGTAAATATTTTAATTTACTACGAAAATTCCCACATCATGTGAAAACATCTTACGAAAACTGTTTAACATACCTCTTCGTCGCCTGATTATTATTTCATATCTGGGACACAGCCTTTAAGATGGCGGCTTCAGCGAGCTGAACAAGCCACACTGTTCCCCAGGTTCCTCTCTTTCTCGAGAAGAGATTGTAAGGCCGGCTTTGAACCATTTAACTCTCAATGTCTGATCGTAAATTCTTCTCTCTGGCTACTACACATTTCTTTGCAAGCTAGTTACGAATAACTGGTGTTAGATCATGACAACAACTTCTACCTTATAAGTTTGGGTATATTCTCATCACCTGTTTGCTGGATAATGTATCGATATTGTGGGGAGAAGTTACACGTTCATCACTTTTAGGATTTAAAGGGTTAAAAGACATCACGTTTTAATCCTGATGCATGCACGCTAGATGTGCATCGAATTTTTTTTTTTTAATTTAGTACCAAAAAACAGTTTAAACCTTTCCTCTTTTCTTGTTAAAATGAAAAACACTTTAATTTGACGCAGTAGCCCACAAAGTGTTTCCTTTCAAGTTTCTGGAAAGGGTCAATTACAACCAACGTTTTCACACAATGATGTTCTAAAGCGGAGCTAAAATGGCCTTTCCATATATATACTTTAAGAAATTTCCTTTCTCAAACGCGTTCTAAGTTATGTCACGGTCCTTCTAACATATCTTTCTACATGCTATTGCATATTTGTATCTGGAAGAAGCTAAAGTTGATGACTTCACGAGCTCAGTAAGATTCTTGAGATTTATCAATCGGTACATTAATGTCGTTCTGCAGTAAATATTTAAAATCTGAAGTATATATAATGAGATGCGTCGGGTCATTTACATCTAGCTTGTTCAACGCGGCTTAGGACCGCTGAGGATTTCCAAAGTACATTGCTAATCTCTCTTTGGGCAAACTCGGCTATTTAATGGAAGTTACAGGTGGAAATATTTGACATGCAACCAACATTTGATCTCGCTTTCCTTTCCTAGGTGTCCAAACTATACACATTAAATTCAACTGTATACAAAGTTTACAATATTTACACTTATTCACTTACACTTATAAAGGTTTACTGTGTAGTGTTTTGAGGTTTACTATACATCTATTTTTTTTGTCATACAGGTTTTGTTTTCTGCTTGCTTTTAGGCTCGAAAGAACTTTATGTCGCTGGGTAACTATTTTATAAAAAGCAAAATCCCTGGACATACAGCAAAATACTTACAGACATATTTCAAGTGTGTTTTAATCAACTTCTGCTCTTTTCAGAGTGTAACTAACTACCCTCTTACTTTTACTTTTAACCGATCATTTTCTACGCTGTAAATCGAAAGGATCTGTTTCAGCCTCTAAAATAGGGCCATCTCGGTGAGTAAAATAGTCCTATTTTGGAGCTCATTTGGCCCTTCTGGATAAGAGTTGTTCTGGCCCTAGTAAAAAGGGCAGAAATGGCCCTGTATGGGATAGCCGAAACGACTTCATAACGGGGCTGTTTTAAGAAAATGAGGGGTAGTTTAGGAAAAATGAGGGGTAGTTTTGGCCTTTAAAGGGGTCAAAATGGTATGGCCAAATCAGCCCTTCTGGAACCAATTCGCACCATAGAGAGTGTGAAAATTGGCCCCTATTTCGTGGCCAATTTAGGCCAATGTATGGTCAAACAAACGAAATTTTAATGGCTAAATCGGCATCATAGGGTCTGAAACGACGCTCTTGATGGGAGCTGTTTGGGGCTTTAATAATGTAAAACAGTCCTCTGAACAGAACTAAAGTGGTTTTTGTTATGATATAAAATTGCCCCACTTGAGCTATTTCGCATCTGTACATTTTAGGCCAACAATACCCTCAAAGGGTGACTCATTTAGCCCCTGTTAAGGCAAAAGGAAAGCACTTCCTGCGACTAAAGCAATGCAAACGAAGTCCGAATGACTCCTAATTTTAGCTCTATAACAGTTTTGTTAAAGCTAAAATCAATTTCCATTTATCCTTTTACATGGTTCCAATTATCCATTTGATTCACACTCATTAAACAATGCTTAGCAGCAAAAATAATGTAAAAAATCCCTTAAATGGGGATTAATAGTAATATATATATAGGAAAAATGGTTTATTGACAATGTAAAGATTTGCATTCTCCAGCTGTGACCTTTTATTGGCAAACTGAAAATAATACATGTGCATAAAACAGCAGTGAAAGGGCTAAAAACCACAGTATTGAGAATATCCAATGTAAATTGTACATTTCTTCATACTAACAGAAATTACAAATAGATTCTACCAATGATTCTAATTCTGAAATTTCAAGAACCCTTTCACTCCCAAGATTGTATTAGTAATTCCTCTTACTGTCTGTCATACAATCTTTTGATATTATTTGGGAGAATTTAGTATTGGATCAACTTAAAGTCTCCTAGATCATAATCTGCTTTATTCTCATCACTTTTCTACTTGAAATTGTGCTGAGATTGTAAGGAGAAGTTTTCTCTTGGTCACTCATGGGAGTTACAGGGTTAAAGAAAGTGCTGACATTCAGCAAAGTATGACCTTGGCCAATACCCATTAGGGCCTGCTCTAGGAAGGACAATATGGCTTTGCTGTCTTTATACACCACATATTGAATATATAAAATGATGACAGCAAAGCCACAATGCTATTTACAATGCTTTGTTGTGGTTTGCTGCATAGAATAATGCCCTCATAGATGATAATTAGTTTATCAAAATCAAATTGTTCACCAATGGCCACAATTTGAGGCTGAAAGGACTTCAACAATTCATCATCGATTGAAGCTGTTCTCTGTAAAAAGAAAAAAAAATAAAAATGAAAAAAATGAGTCACCCAACCCCATAAAAATGAGCAAAACAAAGTCTCAAAAGAAGAAAGTTGTAACTAAAAGGTTGCTGAGTGATCAACTTGACTAATTTGGAATTAGTCCCTTATATCCAAAAAGATATGCTCCCCATGGCTATCAATGACCAAAACAAACAATTCAAAATTATTTTTACAACTGTATACATTGGCAAGTTCATGATCAATAGGTATTTTTGTTTTTAAAATTGCAGCCAAGGAAAGTGTGTGAAAACACAGCTAGGCATTAAAAGTGAAGCTACATGCAGTCAATAGCATGTTTTTTATTTGATGCAAACACTGATTTCACAGCCATTTCTGTTTGTTTGTTTGTTCTTTTTTCTATTTCCAATAATCTGCTCTAAAATTAAAAGAGCCTCTGGTCTCTTTTGGTAGAAGACAGTTACTGGTTGGATTGTAAACACTTCTTATTGAGAGCCCTTTCCTTTTTGCTGTAGTATCTGCAGTTGTTAATTAAAAACAGTACAAATTGATCTTTAATTTCTGGTACAAAAAGATGATTCAATGTATGAACATCAAATAAAAAAATTTATGGCCAATTCAACACTAATACACATATCACAAGAATTGTTGACTTCCAATAGGATACCCCACCTAAACAAATTTTCCCAAATAGCCTAACCTTTAAAATGACCTCTGGAAACCCAAAAAATCTGTAAATAATGCACCCACAAAACCCACTTGTTTAAGTTTAATAATGGCTATGCAGTAGCCCAGAGCAGCCAAACAGTTAAATGAATAAGGTTTTACTTGCTATTTTAAATATCCTTCCTTAATATTAAAAATTTTACATAATATGGTTTTATACTCACATGTGCTGGAAGTTGAAATCTATACATGTATCCAATCTTCCACCTAAAGTAACAAAAACAAGACAAGCTGAATAAAATAATAGCATATTTATTGACAAATTGTTTAGCACAATGTACATTCAACCACTGAAATAGTAATTGTTATACAAATCATAACATGTGACTACTCATATTCAAAAGTACATTGCATATTGTATGCATCAAATCTGAAAAATTAAACAGCTTACAAGGCAATAACAGTTTTAACCCTTTAACTCCCATGAATGACCAAGACAGAATTTCTCCTTACAATATTAATACAATGTCAAGCAGACAAGAGATGAGAATATGGAAAAACATTAATTACAGGATTATTAGTTGATTGAATACCAAATTCTCCAAACTAACATCACTAGAACTATATGGCAGACAGTAGGGAGAATTTCTAATAAGATCTTGGGAGTTACAGGGTGAAGGTCCCTCACCAATGTCTCAAATGCTGGTTGCTTATATTTGCTCATACAAGTCAGACTTAATTTATCAATTGGTTCTGATTTCTTAGTCTTTGCAATTGTACTTGCCATATAACCAAAGCTATAAACATCTGAAGTTGACCAAGGGACGTACAGACCATCACACAAAGCAAGATCAATGTGTTTATGTCATGTTTTGAGTCCAGCTCTTTTCCTTGGTTTTCCTAACTTCACATGCTTCATTGAAGTCTATTATTTTGGCTGCCAATCACCCCTATTCACCTCTGAAATCAATACATTATCTCCTTTTTGTCATTGTGGACAATCCCTAATCCATGAAGATAATAGAATCCCTCACCACATTGCATTAAAATGCCTAACCATGATTTTTCAACACAATATACTCTCTGACTAAAGAGCTCTAAAAATGGTAAATGAATGTTTGATCCCTTCCTTAACCCTTTAACTCCCATGAGTGACCAAGACAAAATTTCTCCTTACAATATAAATACAATATCAACCAGATAAGTAATGAGAATAAAGAAAAATGTCAATTTGGGGATAATTAGTTGATCAAATACTAAATTCTCTGAATTACCATTATAAGAATTGTATGGTTGGCAGTAAGGAGAATTACAAATTTGATGTGGGAGGTAAAGGGTTAATTCCACAAACCTCTCATACAAGCAGTTAAGTAGTTCTCTAAAAACTACACCAAAGGAAGGGAAATGCTTTGTGAGAAATGTGTGATAAAACACAAGCTTCCTCAGCTACAGTTTCTTTAGTAGTTGATTCACTATTAATAGTACTTGACTGCACTGGAAAAGACATACATGTAAACTTGCAAACACCAAACCTTCCCAGGCCTAACACAACTTTGTTTCTGTGGCTATCTCCTACAACTGAAAGTTGCTATTAGCTCATTTCGTTCACTTAAACATTTAACTTGCTTCAATGAGACATGAAATCCCTCAAAGTTTGATATCTATGATTAATCATTTTGAAAAATATATTTCAAGCATTGCACCTACATGTGCTGTAAAATGATCAATTGATGCTTAAAAGTGAGGATTCCTTAGCAAAAAAGCTTAGCACCTCTGGCAGATACCTTTGTCACAGTATTGTAGAGCAAAGAAAAAATAATATTATGTTTCAAGCATTGCACCTACACGTGCTGTAAAATAATCAATCAATGCCTAACAGTGAGGATTCCTTGGCAAAATGGCCTTGCATGTCTGGCATATACCTTGATCACAGTATTGTAGAGCAAAAAGAAAAATATGTTTCAGGCAATTTGCACCAACCTGTGCTGTAAAAATTATCAATCAGTGCCTTACAGTGAGGATTCTTTAGCAAAATAGCTTAGCACCTCTGGCATACACCTTTATCACAGCATTGTAGAGCATAGAAAAAAACATGTTTTAAGCATTGCACCTACACTGTACATATGCTGTAAAATGATAAATCAATGTCTAACAGTGAGGATTCCTTAACAAAAAAGCTTAATTTGCACCCCTGGCATATACCTTGATCACAGTATTGTAGAGCAAAGAAAAAATTTTTCAAGCATTGCACCTACATGTGCTGTAAAATGATAAATCATTGCCTAACAGTGAGGATTCCTCAGTAAAAAGGCTTTGCACCTCTGGCATATACCTTGATCACTGTATTTTAGAGCAAGGAAAATGTGAAATTGATAATTTGAGAAAGAACTGATCAGTCAATGAAAGAATCAATCTATGCCTGAAAGCAAGGATTCCTAAGTAAAAAAAAAAAATTCACCCCCAGCTGACATATTACCTTGAACACAGCATTGTTCAGCAGGAAAATACAAGAAATTCATCATTTAAAGCATTGCACCTAAATGTCTGTAAAATGACCAATCAATGCTTTACTTCTATAGCTCGCTGATCCTAGCAGTATGCAAAATGTGTCTTAAATGAACTTTGTAATGGGTCTTGCTCACCATAGAGTCTCTGTGGCTTGATCAGTGGTGAGCATCGGGGCATGAAATCCCTAGGTTCAATTCCACTTTGGCAAACAAAATTTTTTCTTTGTTCCAAGCTCATCACAAACTGAAAAATAAAACTTTCTCTTTTTCTTACCGCGCTCAGAACTGACCATCTTTCTTATTCTAATTAGCATGTTTATCTAACAATGGTCAAGGGGGGGAGGGAGGGGATCTCATGAAGAGATACAAGTAATTCACTGAATTTTATTTTACAACTCAATTCCACTTCCTAGAATTTAAATTCCATTCTGTGGGAGTATAGAGATTGGTTATCAATACAAGATATAAAAAGGCACAAACCTTTTTTGAACTTTTAGGTGTTTCTTTAATGCTTCCTTTCTCCTTGCTTGTTGGTGTACAGGAACTTGGGCTTATAGATACTTTCTCCAAATCTCCGCCGCTTGCTAATTTCACGTCTACATCTGCTTCATCTTCATCCTATAAAAAACCTACAAAAGATTAATCCAACTCCAAATATTGGTAAGTGATTTATTGATCTGTGTTAGTCTTGGTCTGCAATTGGCCTTTTGCGATGCTCAAACATTGAACTTAAAAATGTGCGTGCCTTATAAAGGATTAACTAAACCAATTTTTTATGACTATAAATTAAAAGTATTAAGTGCGGATATCACGTGTTTATGAGTATGGATTCTTGTGCATACTTGCTAAAGATCAGCAAATTTTTCCTCATAGCTTACCATTAATACACAGGCAGAAGCACGAGCGTGAGTAATTTTCTTCGACAAGTCACGGTTGGGTCCGGAATTCAAATGATTGGAATGGCTCACCTGAAGTAAATGTGCAAGCATGAAATTGTTTTAAATAACAAGATTGGCTATGAGGCTTAGTTCATAAATAGAAAATCATAAAGGTCATAACTAGAAAATCTCTGTTGCAAATATGTAATGCAAGCTGATTTATGTTAAGTTAAATCAGGATAAACCACACAGCAAAGCAATTGCTTGTCCCTTTCAGAAAGCAAGCAGCGCAAACGATCTACACGAGGGAATCGGGTGTCCACAATTTGACTCTCCTTCGTAGAAAAATCATTGTCATTAGCGAAATGCACAGTATAATACTCGCAATAAACTATCTGTTAAATCTTTCCGCGAGGCGGTTTAAACTACATGGTAGAACAACATTGAGTCACTTTGAATATTTTTCGTGTAGGCTCTATTATTCTGTCACCATAGAGCCATTTTGCGGAATCGTTATGTAAGACGCATCGTTGTGTAACAGTAGCTACAACCTTCTACAGTGAACCTAAAGCAACCGAACCCGCTTTTAACTGCTTCGCTGCCACTGAAACAGCCATTAGTGACCACAAAAGGCATAATTATATTCTAATATTTTCAATTCAACTTAAACAAAAATATCTATACAGGGTAAATGTTCATTTGTGTCAGTATGAATTATTGCTTGTGTTGGGGAAAACACAACGCAATACCTGGGCTCCTGTCAAAAAGTAATACCCAGGCGTTGTATAATAATCGAAAAAGCTAATAAATTCATAAATAAACAAGGTAAGAGTGTTATGTTAGATTTTTTTACAAATTGTAGTGATTTATGCCAGTAAACGGTGGCGACAAATAGGCTCACCATGCTTATTTCATAGTCGCTAGCAAGTAAATTTTGCCGAACTTTGAGTTCGTCTCAAGATAGAACAACACAATTACACAAGGAAATTTTTACAGCAACTTTTTAACTATCCTTTTGTCTTTTAAAAGCTTGAAGCTCTGTAGATTATGTCATCTCAGTCATTGTTAAACCTGTCTTTGTTTTGATGTTACTTTTCGACATAAGAAAAGTATGTCGGACAAAAATATTTACCAAAAAATTAATATTTCTTTGCCAGCTCCAGTAATGACAGAGGATTAAGTTTAGATGATGAAACAAAGGATTATGTTAACAGAAATACCGGAGGTCAAGTTTATTCGTTACACGAGGTCACACAACTCGGGTAATATTTACGATGAAAATTTGCACATTTGAGCGGTCGAACGAAAAAAATCATTTCTCGAAAACTAAAATTTTCACAAAAAAACTAAACCAAAATTATCAGGACAAATTGGACTACAAAAATATGAAAGTAGGAGTGAAATCGAACTTTGGGCGACTTGCCACAATATTTCAAATTTGTGCGATGGATGCTGACATTCTCTCTTAAAAGTCTCTCATACTTACAAATGAGGAACTGAAGTGCCAAAGGAGACAATGGTATCAAATTGATTAAATCTTGTGCTTACGTTAGTGAAATTGTTGCATTTGTTTTCATTACTTATTACGCCAACAGCAATCAGTAATGGGAGGGGGGGGGGGGGGGTACGGCTACACTTAGGCTGTACATCAGTAAGACAAAATAACCAACCCAGAGTAAAATACGCGAAATTACGTGAGTGGGTTATTATAGCAAATCGATTGTACTCCGGATTAAGGAAAAATAAAAATGAGTCCATTTTTCCATAAATTATAGAAAGAAACACTGAAATTGTGAGATAAAAGACCCATATTAAATTTTTTTAGATGGTGAGCTTAGTTGGATGTGCGGTATGATACAAACGACATAAGCCAGTCGTATCGATTGATATCATGTCCAATCAAAGCAATGTGGTTAACTTCGTTGCAAGGAATGTCATTTATGGTTTGACCTCATTTCAGATGTGGAAGCAAATTGACAGCGCCTGCGTTTGATGCCAAGAGCACCAAAACACGCCTGTTGTAATCTTTGATTTCGACTGGTTATTTCATTCGATTTACAGTCAGTAGCATCGTTGCACCAGAACAATTTGACGAGTAAAACCATGTTATGAGAGACCGACTAAAAGGAGACGTTGCTTGCAGAGATGCTGATGGCGTCCATCGCGTGTTAAATTTTGTGAGTCACATAAGGAATTTCGAGCTTGAAGGAATACTACAATGATGAGTTAGAGATTTTGCTAGAGTTTTATCGTAGAAATGCTGCTAGTATTATATCTGTAGGCATAAAATAGGCGCAAATGCGTCCAAATATTCCAAAACACACCTCCAGGACTTGTTTATGGCGACGCGTACTCGCATGTATGACTAATAATAATTCTCACTGAACACGCCCCCACCTTTTATTAAAATAAATTCTGGAGAATTGAAATTTTTCTGATGGGTTTTAAGAAAATATTTTAGATGTAGTTCATAATTTACAATAAAATATTGAATGTCGAAAACGCATCAACACACGTTTCCTTTTAAGTCATCTTTTTTACTCTAGTAAACCTAGTTCGCAATTACATCTGCAGGTCAACTAATGAGCTGAACATTTAAGACGACCTTTTTCCCTAACAAAACGAAGATCATATTCACGAGTTTACGGTTCCCTATTCACGTTTTTCCGGTCTCTTAGTGTAACGCAACAAGGAAATGATTGTCTACAGTACAAAGATGTGGAACAACAGAAGAGCGCGTCAGGTGGTCTTGCGAAATTTTAGCAGCTAAGAGGTTACTGTCTTAGCTTCGGAGGTCGATGAAAACCATCATAAGTCCAGAGCTATTGTGCGTGTCTTCAGAAAGTTCGCATCAATTAATAAAACTCTTGATCAGTCAGTTGTTAAATAAAATGTTTTTCTTTTCTTTTTTTTTTTTAAATCCAGTGCAGAGAAATGAGATAGAAACTTGTAGTATACAGGTTATCCAAAATTTTTATGATGCATGTCATTGGAAACAGACGAAAATTCATAACATTTTCACTTTTGCTAATGCTGTTGTATTGCTTTGTGTTGCTTTTCTAGTTTTAAGAAAGCGTTGACAACTACGCAGCAGGTTTCTAAAATCATTACCTTTTTACAACCGTAACAGTGCAGTACGTTTGATTTAGAAGTAGCCACATCTTTTTTTCTCTGTAATACCCGCTGTTAAATACAGGATATCTTATATTAAAGTTCACACGGCAACCAGGTGGACAATCAGACATAGTTTGAAGCTACACTGGTTTGCAGATTTAATGAATGTAACCGAAGAAGTTACAATTCATAGACCCTAATTGAATTGAATTGTAACTTCTTCGGTTACATTCATTAAATCTGCAAACCAGTGTAGCTTCAAACTATGTCTACAGGATATCTGTTTACGCAGACTTAGTGCGCGGAGATGATACTATCCTAGCTTAACCCTCTACTCCACATCGCAGAGAAGGTTGTTACTAAGATACTAAGGAACCCGTCTTTTCTTTTGGAACAGTATAGCTTAATGAGGTCCTTGATGTCAAGTAAAAACTGGACCACAGAGATTCTTTGGTGAGCTTCGCCTTCATCACTGACGGTCGATACGCAGTCGCGTCTAGTCCTATCCGCAACACAAAAACCGAATAGAATATTGACTGCTTGAACTTGCCACGACACTTAGCGTCTCATAGGGAACTTTCCAACCTTCATTTTCTGCCGTGTTTTTCCCGAGTATTATTCCAAGAGATGCGCAACACGATCGCATATCTTTCTCGCTTCAACGAATAACATCTTCCCTTATCCTCTCTAGCTGTTACCTGAGTTTACGGAAATTATTCGAAAAACTGGAATATTTTTCTTTCAAACTAATTATATATGTCGTACGTAGGGGGAGATTGGCGTTGCGGTGGATTCGGGCCAGTTGACTGCCTACTTAGTTCCTGGTCGGAATGGGGTCCTTGTACGACAATATGTGGTGTAGGAGGTAAGCAGACCAGCACCCGTCGTCGACTGATTAGAGAGCAGTGTGGAGGTACATGCCCCGGTGCATTTAACTTAACAATAACACGAGCCTGTCCTCAGATCAGATGCTTAAATGGAGGCAGCTTAATGAATGGAGCATGTATATGCAAAGCGGGATATTCTGGTTATTGCTGTGAAGACGATGAGAACACAAAGAAAGGTAAAGTCCACTCAGAAATATGAATAACTGCATTTGTTATATACATAGACTTTCACTCAACAAAACGAGCACTGTGATTGGTTGATTCTTGGTCACGCCCCCCTTAACACCATGAGAAAAACTACGCTTCCAATTAGACCTAAGTCCCGATTGGGAATTTTGTGACTGTGATTTGGGATTTGTTGATTCTTAGTCATGTGCCCCTGATCACATTCAAATGTATCCCGACCGGGAGACGATCGCGCAGTTGTTGCCTGCGCACGGAATACAACAGCACGTTTTTGCCATATATGATTGTTTAAGGGAAAGTCTAATTATATGACAAAAAGCACTTGATGTATATTCCCTCGGGAAACTAGTTGGTTTTGTTTTTTCTCGAGTCCTGATCTTTCCGAAAGGTCTGGATAGAAGCAGATAAAAACATGTTTCCACAGTTCTTCTGTCATCTTCAGTTCTTCATATAATATAATAATATTTAATACAACTTAATTTAATTTAGATTTTATTGAATTTAATTCATAATTTCATTTAATTTAAAACTTTCCTTGTAAATGCATATAT